AGCCCTTCAACAAGTAACTCCTGGTAAATCTTCATCTAAATTAAACCCCAGTCTGGAAAGTTATCTGGGTGAGGCTAGAATTCAGGTCTCTTATGACTATATGTTCTCTCTCCCACAAACCAAATTTATTCAAGTTAAAGGACTGTTATTCTCAGATTGCCCTTCTATCAGATGATGATGTTAACAGTGATCTCTTTTTCCCCCCAAAATAAAAGCATTGCTATTTTCTATGGATGAGCAACACTGACTCGCACATTTGTTTGTTTATTTGAAGCTGAAGTTTTGAATGTATCTTGCCTTCAAAAGAGAAATGGGTATTTGGGAGGACTTTTAAAAAGTCAGCATAGCATAACACTTTTAATGATAAATAATTGAATAAATAATAAAACATTTGATAGTGATAAATGTTAAGGAAAAGGGAAGGGCAGGACAGTATTGAAATTTTAGGTGATGTGAGTTAGGAAAGGTCTCACTGACATTACTTTTGAGTAAAGAACTGAACTAAGTAGGGAGACTTGCCACTCACCTGTCTGGAGGAAAAGCATTCTGGGCAGAGGAAACAGCAAGTACAAGGCTCTGTAGCAAAGTGTGCCTGGTCCAAGACTTTGAGGAGCTCTGTTTGTAATGCTCTGAAGACATAGGTTGAGAGGATTATAGTGTTACCCTTTGTCTTAGCTGTCTTTCTGTGCTCCAGTTGGAGCACTTGCTTTTATACTTATACCAGAGACCCAGTGCACGGACTTGTGCACTGGTAGGGTCCCTCGGCCTGGCCTGTGCCCTCTTGCAATCTGACACCCCTCAGGGGATGGACTGCCAGTTTTGGCCCAATCCCTGTAGGTCAGGCTGAGGAACCCCACCGGTGCACGAATCCATGTACCAGGCCGCTAGTATGCATAGAGGATCTTTGGTTAATCTCTTCCCACCCTTCCCTCTCCCCCCTTTCCTCTGAGATTCATCAATCTGTTTCATGTTTCCATGCCTGTTTGTTGAGCATTTGCCCCCTGGTGGTTAGTGCACATCATAGCTACTGGTCAAATGACTGGATGGTCACTTAAGCTTTCATGTATAGATATAGCTATAGATATAGATATATATAGATGTATAGATATAGATATTAGTTCTTCACTTTCTTTAAAATTTTAAAACTGAATTACATAACTTTTTTGCAGTATTCTCTAGTTTTCATTGACAGTCTTTGTAAGTGTCCATCTTTCAAAATTTAATGTAAGTCCCACATCAGCATTTTTTCCCTTTTTAATTCAGCAGGTATTTGAAAATGGATTTAGACCTTATTTTATATGATTTATTTTTTAACTCCCACATGGATTCTATTCTATTTTTGTTGAAGCAAAGAAGCTGAGGTAACCTGGAATAGTTAGAAAATCATTTAAGATAGCATACCAACTAAAACCTCTCTAGCTAAGGTCACTAATACCCTTTGTTACTAAATATAGAAGCTAGTTTTCCATTCTTTTTTACCTTGAGAAATTAACACCAAACCATTTTTCCCTTGAAATACCATCCTATTCCTCTGGTTGTACCATTTCTGTCTTACGGATTCTTATTTCCTTGGGTTTATGCCTTGACTGCCTATACTTCTCACTCTCCTTAATCTCCTTTGATATTCTCATCTACTTTATGATTTCAGTTACAACATATTGTTGATTCTCATATCAGAATTTCTAGTCTACATCTCACGTTTGAGCTTTGAGCAGTTGTAATAAGTTAGCTTGTAACTTAATCCATTTTAATGACCAATTGGTAACAAATATTCAGATATTTAAAGTAAGTTTACATCTTTTCACCACAAAGAAAAAAGAACTTATTCTTTCTGTCTTTATTTTGGCTCTGCACCATGCTTGTCCAGTTGATTAAACTAGAATTTTTATATTGATGCCCACTAGTTAAATCCATCAGTAACACAACCCACAGGTAAACAAAGTTGGGTATATTGATGCTTTCTGCAACATGGGAAGTCACATGCCATGAGGAAGTATGGAGTGTCACAGTAAGAATGCGCTGGATGGAGAATTGGGGCTTTTGTTAGGTAATTTTGGGGAGAACTCAGGGAAGGTTTGGATTTGGTCTGGATTGGGTGTTGTCAAGAAGTGGGAATCCTATGTAATAAAAGGCTAATATGCAAATCGTCATCATGCCCTCACGTGTAACCACCGATCACCAGGAGTCTGCGTGCGCAGCAGGAGTGCATGGGTGGGCAGGGCAGTATGTGCATCCTGTCACCAGGAGATGCATGGAGCACCTCTTGGTCTCTCCCTCTCCTGCCACCCCGCTCCCGTGGGTGGGGATGGACGCTCCCTGCCAGCTCCCTCCAGCACCAACGGTTCGCTCCTGCCTCCAGCAGAAGCAGCAGGCAGCCTACTGCACATGATTTCACACACTGGGCCACTAGTTCTATAATTGGGTATTTTTTTTTTAAGATATATTTTAATTGATGTCAGAGAGAGGAAGGGGGAGGGAGAAAGATAGAAACATCAGTGATGAGAATCATTGATCAGCTACTTCCTGCATGCCCCGCTATTGGAGATGAAGCCTGCAACTCGGCATCTTGGGCATGTGTCCTGACTGGGAATGGAGCTGTGACCTCCTGTTTCATAGATTGGTGCTCAACCACTGAGCCACACTGGCCGATTGGTTATCTTAATAAGCCTTGTCCAGAAGGTGAGAAGAACAGGGTCAGGTTAAAACTGTAACTGGTAAAGAAGCAGTAGTCCTGGTTAGCTGACATTTTTGTGTGTGTTTATATGGTTGGACAGAGACCTTGATTTTGTCTGTATTCTTACTCAAGCAGACTTGGCTCTGCACCATGGTCACAGTGGACCTTCCTTTTCTGATATTGGTAGTCTATGAGATTCTGTTTGATAGAAATACATCAGAACCTATCTGTGAGTGGTAGGCCATCTCTTAGCTGTGAGAGGTTGCTTTTCTCTCTCACTTATTTGGAAGAGGTGTAAAAGATTAGATACCATTTGGACAGCAGCAAGATGGATGAAGAATGTTTTAGACGATATATGAACAAAGAATTTATACGGTATTGAGTGCTTATATGTGAGAAGCAGTAAAAAAGCTTTTTCTACTTGAAATATATCAGTACTAGTAAGCTCCAGTGTTGTGTTCAGACAGAGATGCCCAGTTTGTTTATTCCTTACCAAGGAGAGGTTAAAGGGTAGGGGTACGTATCAATCACATATGTAACTTTGTAAAGCTAAATGTTTGCATACTTACAATGTGCCAGGCACTAAGTACTTGTATGGTCTCTTAATCCATACGCCGGTAAATTGGGATAGAAGTGAATGATGCATATTGCTGATGTTGGAAATAAGAACCAAAGTAGAGATCCAATTGAGGCTAGTGGTGTAGAATGTAATGTTTAAGAGTGTGAGTTTTAGCAAAATAGTTTGGGTTTGAATCCTGCCCCCTCCTCACAATTATTAGTTAAATAACCTTGAGCAAGCTACTTCATCCCTTGGAACCTCTGTCTTTTACAAATTTAAATGTGCAATAATTATACCAGCCTCAGAGGATCGGCAATACTTGGTAAGCACTCAGTATTCAACAGTTGCTGTTCTTTTCTTTTGAATGAAAAAAATAAGTTAAAAGTTTATTCTACTTAATATAAGAATTTTTACATTAAATATATAGTAATTCATTTATTAGAAAATGATACCAGGAACTATGAGAAGTAGTTGCATTACACAATGACAATGACTAGAAAAATCTCAAATGCAACTAAGTAGCTATGCTATATATATACATATATACACACACACACACACATTTTGGCTTCTAGATGCTTAAGTTAAAGCAGCAGTTCAAGCATATTAAGTGAAGGCAGTTAAAATTTAATGATAATTAATACAACTTGCATACACTGTTTAATATTTCCTTATGTACTTTTCTTTTACTGGCTATGTGACTTTGGACATATCACAAAACTCAGAGCCTCAGTTCTGACAGAATTTTCTAGGATTGACATAAGGATTAAAAAGTATACATGGAAGCATTTTAGAAACAAAGTACTATAAAATATAATAAATATTAATGTCTAGTATGTTGTCTTTCAAGTATTTGAATTTCCTTGACAGGTAAAGGACTATGGTTGGGTTGTGATGTTTTGTGGCAAATCATAAGGTTAGGATGAGAAATTTAGATTTCATGCTGTGGACTTTAGAAATTCAGCTGCCAGACAGACTTCAGATCGGGGCAATGAGATGGCAAAAATAGTGGCATAGAAAACGTGGAAATGGAGGAGAACCTAGAGGTCCAACGACCAGATTTAGGAAACTTTCAAGCTAAATAATGGTGATTTTGATTAGTGACTCTATAATAGAAGTGAAAAATCTTAAGATATTTCTAAGGCATTAGTGCAATTTAGGTACAAGTTGAATGTGAGGGATAAAGAAATAAGAACAATAAAGGCTTCTTGAACTTCAATTTTGGAGATGATTGTTAAATTTGTTTAGGTATAAATGGTTAATAAATTTGAAGAAATAGCCACGTGACAGTGTACAAGATGACTAGGGACTTGGTTTCAGGTGTTTATTTGGTTTTCTCCATAATGTAGGCCCAAATGTGTAATGTGTAAAAAGAAGGCTTTTGGGAAAAGGTACAGGTTTCACTGGTAAACTGTAAAAAAATATTGGTTTGAAGTTAAAATAAGGTTGTTAGAAATATGATTAAAATCTGTTTGCTATGCTGCAATCAGGGGTAAGAAATTAATTTGAAATGCATCAAAAATGAGAGATGAATTGAAATGCAATATGTTAAGTATAACAAAATGTTGATTCTAGAATCTCAATGGTGGGCACGTGGATATTCATTTTAAAGCTCAACTTTTCTGTATGTTTAAAAGTTTTGTGTTTGTTTGTTTGTTTAAAAGTTTTAATAACCTGTTAGAGGAGGAGTGGAGATATAAACAGTTTGCTAAAGGCTAGTCTTGAGAATTTCTCTTTCCTGACCTGAGACTTTTGTTTTCTCTGTAGGAACTTTCCGCTGCACTTTTTGTAGTACAGAGGTAGAAGAAGATGAATCAGCAATGCCCAAAAAAGATGCACGCACACTTTTGGCAAGGTTTAATGAACAAATTGAGCCCATTTATGCTTTGCTTCGGGAAACAGAGGATGTGAATTTGGCCTATGAAATACTTGAGCCAGAACCCACAGAAATACCAGCCCTGAAACAGAGGTGAGTATAGTCCCGTGCTCTTAGCAATAACACTTTAAGCTTGTTCTTGTTTTAACTACCTGTGCTTTGAAGAGAAAGAGTGGGTAACTAATTTACTAGGAGACTAAAGGCTAGTGTTTCATAGATTCTAAGCTCTGCCACACTTGTCTTATTAACTTGTGCCTTGATGAAGCTTGTTTGTAGTGAATGCAGAAACGTGTGGGCCTTAGGCAAAAATCTTTAAATAGTCAAGTTTGACTTCAACTACTCACTCTGCTTATTAGGCCTGCTGCAACTCAGGCAATTGCAGCTAATCCTAAATTGGTAGTGCCTCTTGTGGATATTTGAATTTTCCAAGTTCTGAAGGCTGAACTTTTAAGGAATACAGCATTCACCTTTTTTTGTTTTTGAAGCACATTAACCACACCTTTCTTGATTGCCTCAGTTTTCAGTGCAACTTCCTTGAAAGTGAAGTAAAATAGGCGTTTCCTGTGAGTTAGTACTTCTGACTATGGCTTCCTGTTCTTTTGAGTGTCCTAATTGAATTGTAGATTCAGCCTTATTTTTGCCATGCCATAAAAAGTGGCTTATATTCTTTGAAAAGCATACTAGTAAAAGGGAATTGGGGGTCAGTGAGTGTTCTCCTATGCTACCTCTTTTCTTTTTCCTCCTAGTGTTACACTAAGAGGAAAAAGCTAAGAGCTTATAGCATTTACTGTTACACCCTTTCATAGGACACATTAGTCCAAGTTGTAACTGCAGTTTTTAAGAACACAATATAATACTCTCTATGAATCATTCTTGTGTTTCCTCTTCTAACTATAGTTATTTTCCTGTTTATCAAGATTTTCCCTGGGTACAATAATGTTCATTCACCTTCACCAATGGCATTTTACCTCTAATGTTCCCCACTTAGCACTGTCCACCTCCCATTCCAGATCTTTATCTAGATAGCCCTTGCTTCATGCCAGAGACAGTCTGAGGGGTGGTGATGCCAGAGGCTCTAGCACACATGTGTCAAACACAAGGCCCGCGGGCCAAATCCGTCCCGCCAGGCCTTGCAATGTGGCCCGCACCGCGCTGTTATCACTGCACTCCGCTGCGTTTCCATCAAAATGACAGTTTATGACTATTCAGTAAACCATTCAGCCCGCGATTTAGGCTGGATTTTAGATTTTGGCCCCTTCTCTGATTGAGTTCGACACCCCTACTCTAGCAACTCACTGTATCAAATAACCTGGCTTCTCATCAGGAATGGTGATGACTACAGGGATGAAAAAGAAAATAGAGCAAATAAACTGATCAAGAAAGAACCTATTCAACAGCCTGGTCACTAGGGAATAAAGGGTGAAATGGAGACAGGCAAAAGAGATAGAATGGGATACTTGGAGATACTAAGCACTAAGTTCAAGAGAAAGACTATTGGAGCGAGGTTGCAAGGTGTTAACCTGGCTGAGATGGCCTTGCCAAGCTTCACTGCCTGGGTATAACATCCTGGAAGTGGTATTGACTTAACCTTTCTATACTAAAGGGTTTGTTTCAGAGTATAACAGATCTGCAATAGCCATCCTACCCCAAATTCAAGAAAAGAAACCATAGTAGAGTGGAAAGGGAGTTCAGAGATGACAGTGATTCACTGATGATAAAAAAAAAAAAAAAAATAAGTGGCATGATTGTTACTTTGGTTACTGATCTGTAACCAATTAAATTCTAGCTTATCTCCAGATCAGGAGCCAGAAGCTGCCTCTGTAGAATTAGTAGACTTAATTCAAGAGTTGATAGACAGTTCCAGCTTTTCAGCAAGTTTTTAAGTAGAATTCCTTGCCCGTAGTCTCTCCCTTTCCATCATCTCTTATTTAACACTCACCTTAAAGATCTTTGAAGTTTTAGTTTGAAATAATATTCCTCCCACACTCCTAAGCAAGAGTTATATCTTTTAAAAGCTCTAAAATTTCTTAAATAATGTAAAAAGATTTAAAACTGAATTGTCAACTTTGTCATCTTTAAGTAAAATGTGTGTATTCTCTCCATGGAAGAAATTTAAATATGCGAAAGGAGTGAACCTGCGTGTCGCTCATCTAGATTTTTAGTGTCACATTTGCTGATAATTTAGATTGGTCTGTATGTGTGGTGAAAGTATAATAGAAATAAAATCTGTGTAGTCAACTCTCCATGGTTAAAAATATCATTAAAAAAAAAATTCTTCCAAATTTTAAAATTTGTTTGACTTGTGGTCAGATCTCTTCTGCTTCAAACTGGAATTAAACCAATCTTGATTTCCTATAATAGAGTACTGAAAACAAGAGACTTACAAAAGTATCCTCATGCTAACATTTATTTATTTTAATTGTTTTGTACTTTCCCCCCACTTTTCTTGTTCTTCTTTACTCAAAGTACTTAATACTTATTGACCTTCAGAGTTAATACTAAAGATAAAGCTTGGATGAAAGCTATGTGTTCAAGTTTATACAGAGAGAAGTAGTAGCTTCAGGGAGAGTGAGTAAACCATTTAAGAATCTCCCCTGGCTATTTTGGCTCAGTGGATAGAGTGTCGGCCTGCGGACTGAAGGGTCCTGGGTTCACTTCCAATCAAGGGCATTATGCCTAGGGTTCAGGCTCGATCCCCAGTAGGGGGAGTGCAGGAGGCAGCCTATCAATTATTCCCTTTCATCATTGATGTTTTTATCTCTCTCTCTCTCTTTTCCTCTCTGAAATCAATAAAAAAAATAAGAGTCTGGATAAAGGAGGCACAGAAAAGGACAGAGTGTAGTTGGCCAGGTCAGAGCCAGAGAAACATTTATTGTATGGAGGGAGACAGAAGGCACATGGTTAGCTCAGGTAGGTACACTTGTGGGCAGGCAGGCATATAAGTAGGCTCTACACAACAAATAAGGATGTTGGCTGAGGATAGAAGAGACATTCTCAGTGAGAGAGGAGTATGTAAAGAATAAGTATGTAAATATATAAACACAGATCAGGCCAAGGGAGAAGAGAAGAGAAAGAAAAGTGAATGCTTGAGGGAGACTAAAATTCAAAACGCCAGTTTATACCAGAGTAAGCAGTCAGGTTATAGTGAATGCAGTGACACAGCCTTTTAGAAGACATCGGAATAGGTAAAAGATGGTAAGACAATGTCTAGGGACATAAAAGGATTAAATTGAGACAAACAGTAAATAGTTCAAAAAGTACCATGATGAATGCAGAAAGAAAAGAGAAAGAAACTTTCCAAATTATTTGCAACATAGCATAATACTTTAAAACATAGCAAGATAAATGGATGGATTGAGTACAGAGAGACACCTGCTAAGCCTAGACTCATAGGGAGGCAGCAAATAACTGGTATAAAGGCTAGGGGAAAGAAGAGTTTTTAAGCAGCTCTAGGTATAGCTAGAGGTAATAGCTGGCAGACATCATTCATATATCCCAGATTAATCTAGAGTTTGAAGAACTTAAGTGTAAAAATAATGTGTTCTTATAACCATACAACTTTCACCCTGAGATATAAACAAGGTTTCTCAGCATTGTTAAAGCTTGTATACATGTTCGCTAGATAGCATTTTCTCAGTAACCACCCAGGCAGCTGCCCTCCTTTCCCAACACCAAGACTTAAATATTTTTCTTCCTGCTCTCTAATCTTCTCATTCAGCAAAGACCGTGCAGCAGCTACTGCTGGAGCTGCTGGCCTGGCAAGTGGGCACCACCGGGAAGCATGGGCAACCAAAGGTCCCTCCTATGAGGACTTATATACTCAGAATGTGGTCATTAACATGGATGACCAAGAAGATCTTCAGCGAGCCTCACTGGAGGGGAAATCTGCCAAAGAGAGGCCCATTTGGTTGAGAGAAAGCACTGTCCAAGGAGCATATGGTTCTGAAGAGATGAAGGAAGGTAAGAGAAGTCATTAAAATGAGAGTGTCTTGGGTTCAGTTGAAAATGAGTCTGACTTAGTGGAGAAATTGCCTGGGCAATTCTTAATTTTATTGGTAATCCACTATATCTGTGTTCCAAAACAATTGCGTTGTTAACAGGAAGTAAGAAATTGAGTAATAAGCATTAAAACCAAATAATATATTTGCATTTTCCTTCAACTTAGTTGAAGAAACAAATAGACAGTTTTTAAGTCTGTATGTCTGTATGTCTATCTATCTATCTATTATCTATCTATCTATCTATCTATATATTTTAAATATTTTATTGATTTTTTTTTTTTTTACAGAGAGGAAGAGAGAGGGATAGAGAGTTAGAAACATCGATGAGAGAGAATCATCAATTAGCTGCCTCTTGCACACCCCCTACTGGGGATGTGCCTGCAACCAAGGTATATGCCCTTGACTGGGACCTTTCAGTCCGAAGGCTCTATCCACTGAGCCAAACCGGTTTCGGCTCTGTCTATATTTTTAATTGATGTAAAATTGGAATATTAGCATTATATGTTTCAGGTGTACATTATAATTCTACATCTGCTCTACCAAGTGATTATCACCAAAGTCTAGTTATCATTTTTCACCATACAATTGAACCTCCTTTACCCATTTTGCCCACCCCCTAACCTCCTACCTCTCTGGTAACCACCAATCTCTGTATCTATGAGTTTGTTTTTGTTTTTTTTGCTTTTTTTTTTGTTTTTTTAAAGATTTCTCATATGAATGAAATCATACATTATTTGTCTTTCTCCATCTGACTCATTTTACTTAGCATAATACCCTCTTGGTCCATTCATGTTGTTGCAGATGGCAAGATTTTTATTTTTATTTTTATGGCTGAGATATAAAAATTAATATATATATAATATATATGTACCACATCTCTTTATCCATTCATCCATTGATGGACACTTAGATTGTCTTCATTTCTTAGCTATTATAAATAATGCTGCATATGTCTTTTTGAATTAATATTTTTGTATTCTTTGGATAAATACCCAGAGTGGAATAACTAATATATGGTAGTTCTATTCCTAATTTTTTGAGGACTCTCCATATTGTTTTCCATAGTGGCTACACCAGTTTACCTATTATATACAGCAAGCATGTCAGAATCATAGCAGCCTATGAGTTTGACATGTTTGATATACAGGATTCTCTTTTCTCCATATTCTCTCCAACACCTGTTGCTTCTCATCTTTTTGACAATAGCCATTCTAACAGGTGTGAGGTGATGTCTCATTGCGGTTTAGATTTGCATTTCCCTAATTATTAGTGAGCTAGAACATATTTTTTATTTGCCTGTTGGCCATCTCTATGTTTTTGGAAAAATGTATGTTCAGTTCCTCTGCCCATTTTTGAAATTAGGTTGTTTGTTCTTTTGTTGTTGAGTTGTATGAATTCTTTGTATATTTTGCATATTAATCTCATCAGATGTATGATTTGCTAATATATTTTCCTATTTAGTAGGTTGCCTTTTCATTTTGATAATCATTTCCTCCACTGTGCAGAAGCTTTTTACTTTGATGTTTACATTTGTTTTTGCTTTTGTTTCTATTCCATTTGGAGTCTGGTCCATGAAAACATTGTTGATGTCATAGAGCTACATCTATGTTTTCTTCTAGAAAGTTTATGGTTTCTTATATTCAAATCTTTAAATCGTTTGAGTTAAATTTTGTATGTGGTATAAGATAGTGGTCTAGTTTCATTTTTTAGCCTGTGGGTGCCCAGTTTTCCCAGCACCATTGCTTGAAGAAACTTTCTTTTCTCCATTGTATGTTCTTAGCTCCTTTTCCATAAAATAATTGTCCATATCTGTGTGAGTTTATTTCTGGGCTCTGGATTCTGTTTAATTGATCTATATCTGTTTTGATGCCAGCATTATATTGTTTTGATTACTATGGCTTTGTAATATATTGTAGTTTGAAATCACAAAGATAACTGATACCTCTAGCTTTGTTCTTTGTCAAGATTACTTTGGCTACTTGGGATTTTTTATTGTTCCATACAAATTTTAAAGTTATTTGCCCTAGTGAAAAATGCCATTGGGATTTTCATAGAGATGGCTTTGAATATGTAGAGTGCTTTGGATAGTATGGACATTTCAACAATATTAATTCGTCCATTCCATAAGTAGCAAATGTCTTATCATTTATATCTTCTTCAATTTATTTTATCAATGTCATAGTTTTCAATGTACAGGTCTTTCACCTTCTTGGCTAAATTTATTCCTAAGTATTTTATTCTTTTTATGCAGTTATAAGTGGGATTATTTTCTTAATTTCTCTCTATGATAGTTTATTATTAATCTGTAAAAATGCCACCAATTTCTATACATTGACTTTGTATCCTGCATCTCTGCTGAATTTATTTGTTCTAATGTCTGTGTGTTTATTTGTTTGGTGGAATCTATAGGGTTTTCTTTATATAGTGTGGGACAAAAGTAGGTTTACAGTTGTTCATATGGGAAAATAATACAATAATTAATAAGTAATAATACAAGGATATACTTTGTTTCACATACAAATGTAAACCTACTTTTGCCTCACACTATTACCATACTATCTGCAAATAGCAAAAGTTTTACTTCTTTCTTTTTTATTTGGATGCCTTTAATTTATTTTTTTATTTTATTTTATTTTATTTAATATATTTTATTGATTTTGTACAGAGAGGAAGGGAGAAAGATAGAGAGCTAGAAACATTAATGAGAGAGAGTCATCGATCAGCTGACTCTTGCACATTCCCTACTGGTGATATGCCCGCAACCAACGTACATGCCCCGACAGGAATCGAACCCTGGTCCCTTCAGTCCCCAAGCGGACGCTCTATCCATTGAGCCAAACCGGTTTCAGCTTTAATTTATTTTTCTTGCCTAATTGCTGTGGATTTCCAATATTATGTTGAATAAAAGTGGTGAGAGTGGTCATCCTTGTCTTGTTTCTGACCTTAGATGAAAGATTTCAGATCTTCACTGTTGAATATGGTGTTAGTTGTAGGTTTGTTATATATGGCCTTTATTATGTTGAGGTATGTTCCCACTTTGTTGAGAGTATTTATTATAAATAGATGTTGAATTTTATTAGTTCCTTTTTCTGTATTTATTGAGATGAGATGATTTTTATCCTTCACTTTATTTATGTAGATTATCACATTGATTGATTTGCACATGTTGAACCATCCTTGCATCCCTGGAAAAAATCCCACTTGATCATGGTGTACCATCCTTTAAATGTATTGTTGAATCAGTTTGGTAATATTTTGATGAAGATTTTTGTATCTATGTTTATTAAGAATGTTGGCCTATAATTTTGTGGTGGTGGTGATGGTGGTGTTCTTGTCTGGCTTCAATATTGGTAATGCTGACCTTATTAAATGAGTTTGGAAGCATTCCCTCCTCTTCAAATTTTTTTCCCTACAGGTTTTTTTTTTTTTTTTTTTTTAAGAATTTATGAAGAATATGTATAAAATCTTTTGTGATGTTTGATAGAATTCACCAGTGAAGCTATCTTGGTCCTGGGCTTTTATTGGGAAATTTTTAAGTACTGATTCCATCTCCTTACTATTGGGAAATTTTTAAGTACTGATTCCATCATAAATCTATTCAGATTTTCTATTCATGATTCTGTCTTGAAAGGATGTGTGTTTATAGACATTTCTTCTGGATTGTTCAATTTGTTATAACTGCTTATATTATGACCCTTTGTATTTCTGTAGTATTAGTTGTAACTTTTCTTTCTGATTTTGTTTATTTGTGTCTTCTCTGTTTTTTTCTTGGTTCATATAGTTAAAGGTTTGTCAATTTTTTAATATTTTCAAAGAACCAGCTCTTGGTTTCATTAATCTTTTAAAATTTCTTTTTAGTCTTCATTTTATTTATTTCCACTCTGATCTTTATTTATTATTTCCTTACTTCTGTTAACTTTCAGCTTTGTTCTTATTTTTATAGTTCCTTAAAGTGTAAAGTTAGATTGTTTGAGATTTTCTTGTTTCTTATAATAAGTTAGGCCTTCTTGCTATGAAATTCCCTCTTAGAACTGCTTTTGCTACATTCTGTAAATTTTGGTATGTTGTATTTGTGTTTTCATTTCTCTCTAGGTATTTTTATTCTTTGATTTTTGTGCGATAATACATTGATCATTCAATAGCATATGTTTAATCTCCACATTTTTGTGCTTTCTTCGTTTTCTTTTTGTGATTGATTTCTAGTTTTATACCATTGTGGTTAGAGAAGATGCTTGGTATGATTTCAATCTTCTTGAATTTATTAAAACTTGTTTTGTGGCCTAATGTGATGTTCTGGAGAATATTCCAAGTACACTTAAGAAGAATGTATATTCCGCTACTTTTAGATAGAGTGTTTTGTATATATCTATTAAGTCTATCTGATCTAATGTGTTGTTCAGAAATCATTCTGTCTGAATGATTTATCCATTGAGGTAAGTGAGGTGTTAAAATCCCCTATTGTTATTGTACTAGAGGCCTGATGCACAAAATTCGTGCAACAGTAGGCCTTCCTTCCCCTGGCCACTGGCACCGGATTCCCTTTGGCACCCGGGACCCAGGCTTCCCTCACAGCCCCAGCTTCAACCATAAGGTCATCCAGAAGGACGTCCAGTCTAATTAGTATATTATGGTTTTTATTATTGTATTGTTCTAATTGTAATTATTACAAATTAAAGGCTATTTGTTAATTTCACTTTTTTAGTCTTTTAATATTTGTTTTATATATTTCGTTGCTCATGTGCTGGGTGCATATAAATTTATAAATGCTATATCTTTTTGCTGGAATGGCCTCTTTATCATTATGTAGTTCCCTTTTTTTTTTTTTTTTTTCAATCCTAACCCGAGTATATTTTTCCATTGATTTTTAGAGAGAGTGGAAGGGAGAGGGAATGACAGAGAAACATCAATGTGAGAGAAACATACCAATTGGTTGTCTTCTACATGTGCCCTGACCAGGAG